GGTAATTCCGTAGGTTGTTATGCATGCGGAGTGAAAGGAGTAGAGACTTAGTTCTTTTTGTATCGATCCACCTGTTCATATCACTTGTGGTTTCACCTTTCCATCTGCCATTGGTCTAGCCGATGTAGATGTAGGTAGATGTTTTGCGTGTGCAGATTTTACCACGGTTAGAATTGTACTCTTTTATGCTAGCTAGTCGGTCTCGCGATATCCTGCAAGATCACTGTGTCCAAGGCCTCAAATCACGGTCGTTTCGTAAACAGCCGAGAGTTTGCTTAAGATTTCCTTGCTTATCATTTGAGGTGTTGTAATTACAATTTAGATATTTAATAGCAGCTTGAATTGTCAGAGTATGTTGAGATGTGCTCAATTTTAGCGTTAAGCAATCATGAAGTGGCTTTCAGTGTTGCTGTTAGTTCAGTTTGAAAGAAAAGTTGGAAAAAACATCAAGACGCAAAACCACAAATTGGAGGAGGAGCTCGGCTGAAAATCACTTCATCGGTTAAAAGCGCAAATTATATATAGGTTAGACCGAAAAATCCAAATTTACTACCTGAAGGGGTTAGCAAAAGCAAAAAAGGAAAAAAGAACCAATTTGTTGATAAAATATACATATGTTCAAGAGGGTTAACAAAACTTCGATAAGTTAACCAGAAAAAAAAACAATTTCTTTTTGTATTTATTTGTAATCTTTGTCCTTTTTTATCCTCTCACCATTGATTTCAATGCATTTCTTAAGCCTATAGATCCACTTCTGAAAACAATCTTCAAAATCTTGCTTTTTAAGCTTAACAAGTTCAGCATTAACCGTATTAATTATCTCCTCGTTGCTTTTAAAGCCATTTCTTCCTGTTTTCCAAAAAATTTAGAAAACTTTTGTTAAGCACTCTTCGGTGTATCATTTTGTAGTTACTGTTTGACCCTCTTCCAGTGGAACAGCAGCTTGCGATTTTAGATCGGGTGAAAAAAACTGATGTCGTTACTTTTCCTGCTGAGTTTTGTTGCTTAGATTTTACGGTTGGGTTCGCTACTGTTGGACTCTATACCATGGACTGCTGTTCGGGTTCTGGACCGTACGTATAGAAGAAAGATTCATCATCAGTAACGACTTTACTACAGTTGCTAGACTAACCATTTTCATATTTGTTTGAGAATAATTGAGCAAAATGCACTCCGACCTCTATTTGAGCCTCATTTTAAATTATTCGTGTACTTCGTGATTACATATTCACGATACAGCCGTAGCATATAAGCCCAATTTATTAAAAATCATTTCTTGTGTCAATCGTGGGTCTACGTAAATTTTTTGGACTCTTCCAGAGCTACAGTGACGTCATCAGTGGATGATAGTCTCTAAATGTGGCATCCACTGAATACTCGCATTGGCTGTAAATTACGCCGAAACATGCAGAGAATCAAATGGTGAATTTCTGTTAGCAATCGTGGTGGAATTTCGTCTAAACTATCCTCAGCTTTCAAGCGTTTTCTCGTCTCAATTTCAGCCGATTGTTCTTAAATTTTAAAGAAAGACTTATGAAGTAACTGCAAAGTATTTGATATTTTTAGATTAAACAAAACAAATTGAAAGTCACCAACTGACCGAGCTTTTGTTAATCCTCTCGTATATTTGCCATTCAAATGATTTAAGTAAGACTCAAATCGTTATAAAATTTCATAGCCAATGAAGAAATGCCAAAATTCTTAAGGAAGCGCTTAGCATATTCTGTCATTAATTCAAGTACTTAAACAGAAAACATTTTGCTAAATAAAATAAATATATAAATTTCTTATTTTTTATGGAATTGTTTCAGACCATACGTTTTTTGGAAATAGTGAAAAAAATTACCGAAATATTTAGTGAAACTTTTATTACATATTTATATGGACGGCCGATATAGTCGCTCTGTTGGCTATGCTTGCTGTCATTCGGAAGGCCAGGGTTAGAGTCCTGATTGCGGTCGCTGGCAATGTCAAGTGCTCCGAGACTGTATAAACTGTCTTGTATTTGTTGGGAAAACATCAAAAGCAAAACCACAAATTAGAGGAATAGCTCAGCCGAAAAAGTGGTTATAAATACATACATTCATATATGTATGTATCTTCAATCAAACTTTTTTTTATATATCATACATATAAAGGGACACAAACAATAAATAAAAAATTCTTTTCATTAGATAAATCATTCTTAGGTAGAATCATGTGTGTAGTTTCATTCAATAGAAAAATTGACACAAAAAGATTTTTTCACGTGAAAATAATTTTATTTCCATTAGATTTCAGAAAATCAAACGCAAAGAATTGCAGTTTTTTTGCGACAATATTTTATATTCCTTATTTTTTTTTGGTTACATTGAAATGTTTTAAATTTTTTGTAATATAAATTTCTAAACTTAGAAAGTTTAAGGTTTATTATTTTAATAAAAGGTAAATTGGTAGCATAGAAATGCAGCAAAAGTCAAAAAGTCAAATAGTTAATTTTTTTGAAAAAAAAAAATTTTTGTTTGAGAGAAACTACCAATAATTTTGTAACATGGGTATAATTACATTCATGTATTTTTTTAATATATTATCTTACGGGACATTATTTTTGGGATTCTGCTAAGAGCCATTCATAAAAATTTCCATAAAATTAATTTAGTTGAAAATGACTTTTGGTCATTGGTTTGAATCAAAATCTCAGAACTTATGGGCAAGAGTATTTTCAAAAAAAAAAAAAATAAAAAATATAGAAAAGTCTATTAAAACAGAAACTGTAGATCAATCCATTTACGCACCACACATTCTAACTAAAAATCAGAGGAAAGGCTTGGGGAAAATCCTTTACAGGCACTGCAAAGCGTTCAACATATGAACATACTTTTGGTAATGGTCATTTAAACAAATTTACATTCTCCATTCTAAAATGCAAAAACACTCATATGACAAAATGTAACATATTTATTTCATTAATATTTATTTAGCGACGATGAAGCAGTACTTAACTGCGCTCGGTTCATTTTTCTATACATATGTTTGTATAATAATTCACATGAAGCGAATGGACATTTTCTTAGAATTTTAATTCCGATCTTTTGGCACATGTAAACGCTATAAATATTTGTTTATGCACATATATTCTCGCATTATATTGTACATACGAGTTAATGTCGAGTTTTGTTCACTTAAAAGTTACTCATTGCTCTAAGATTCGCTTAACAAAACGGAAGTTTGAAATGCGTTCAATAATTAGACGTGCATATACATTGGTACACATATGATGTGAAGCAAATATCGCATATACATGTATTTACAAATTTTAAATATATTGTGTGCGATATGCATATGTGAAATGTTACTCATACGACGTGGGTTACCCATGCAACTACTCGTATTTGTTTTTTTTTTTCAATTTAATTAAAATATTAGAGATAGTTATGATTCACTTCTGTGTGTGTTTGTACGCATCCATAACAAAATGCTAAAAATGTTACATATAATTAATGCTTAAATAAAGTAAAATTAAAATTAAATCATTCTGAGAAGTATATATGTGCATATGAATATACAACACATAAATAGAACTAAATACTCAAATACGAGTATATAACATAAGCGGGATAACTGTATCACTGAAAAAACGAAAAGAAGTAAATCTTAACGAAGAATTGCGCACGTGCTTGCTAGAAACTCTATTTCACACACCACACACACACACATACACACATACACATACACATACAAATGTTGTAACATTACGTTTTATTGTGTGAGTGCGTAAAATATAAGAGAAGTAAATACAATGTAGAATTAGAATAATGGTGACACCATTGGAAAACTGTGGTGAATTGGCGGCCAAGCACAAAAACAAATACACAAATGTGCGTATGTATGCATATACATGTAGCTGTATCTGTGTGCTTTTACATGAATAAGTATCAATGATATGCTAAGTAACAACACAATGTAGTGGTGTTATTATGCGTAAGCCTAAAAGAGAAAATATAAATAAAATAAAATAAAATAAAAAAAATAAAAACAGTGCGATGACGATGGCTATGTGGAGTTGTTTTTTGGCAGCTCAGTTGACTGCACACATTATAATGGCGACAGTATTGATGGCAGCAGTGGTGACGACGACATTGGAAGACATGCGTACGTATTTATGTATGTATACACATACACATATATGACGGTTTTCTTGCAACATAAATATATCTTGCAAATAAATTTACAAATTTGCTGTTGCAAACAAAGGGACTCAATCACAGAGTCCAGTGCGTCAGCAAGTGCCGAAAGTGAATTGTATGTGAATAGTGGAGAAAAACGAAAGAAGTGACAAATACGCATTTTTTTTTAATTAATAATTCTTCTTTGTGTTTATTAAGGGAAAGATACTATAAAAAACTAAAAGTTATAGAAAACTCAAAATTTTATACAAAATATAAAGTGAATCACTCAATAGCTAAATACAGTAAATTGTAAAACAATAAATGTAATATAAAAATTATAATTACGTGCAAAGATATTAACAACTTATTAATTAAAACCAGGCGTATCACGCACACCACTGCCTCCCAAAAAGAAAACAAATTAACAGAAAATCACCAAGAAAATTCAAAAAAAAAAAAAAAATTAATAAAATTAAAATGATCTGTATGTATTCCTGTTTACGTGTGTGTGTGCGTGTATTGTTTGCTTGTTAATCGCCAAAATCGCCGCAACTCTCATCTGTATAATTTCAACTTAACTCATTAAAATCGACCTGAAAATCACCTGTAAATAATCAACAACAAAATCAACACATCAAAACGACAGTCAAACTAAGGCTGACATACATATACGCAAATGACCGTAAAATGTACTCATAAGCAACTAAAAATATCTTAATTTTAAAAATATTCACATATTAATCAAAAACTAAATATTATTAATTTAATAATAAATCTCAATATTCAAAATGATAACCAATTTAAATAAAAGTCATATTCGATAAGGAAAAATTGATTAATTTTTTCAGCAGTAAGAAAGAAAATTTTCTAATTAATCTGTGATTTCTGTGATTTATTATTTTCGCTCGCATTGAATTTGCTAAGAAGCAACTAAGAAGTGCTAAATGAGATTGAAGAGAGTTTCGCAGCAAAATAATTGTTATTAGCTTGAATGCTATTTGTTTGTTAAACAGCGAGCAACGCACATTGAATAAAAATATGAGTAGATACTGATTTCCAAGAAAAAAAAAAACAAAAAAAAACAAAGCAAAGGAAAAAATAAATAAACAAATTCATGTGCTTAGTGAATTAATTGATAATAATTGAATAGTAAAATGTATATATATATAACGCTTGTAAATAAATTCATAAACATAGAGTCAGCAAACTTGAATAACAGAATTGAATAAGGAAACAACTGCAACAAGATAAGCAACAACAAAACGTATAACTATAGATTAATAGCCATACAATGTCCACTGAATAATACATACATATGTGCATAACGACGGTGTACATTTACCGATCATTTACACACATACATACATAAATAATACTACGCCGAATACCTTCGGGATTACAACATTTACGCCAGCGGAAATTGGGAAAGATTATCGATAGCGCTTCGCTATTTTCTTATTCAAGTATATGCATATACATACATATGTCCTTAGATATACCATAAACATACGCAGATAATTAATATAATCTTGCCAGTTCGTTCATTCTGCCAAAGAACGAAAACTAATTCTCCTCTGCTGTTAACGTCTACTTGGACATCTCTTCTTTTATAACACCGCCTTATTTTTCCTCTAATCCGTGTTCTTCTTCAAAAACGCATTGAACGTTCGTGTCGTTATTGTTAAATGTAAAATTGTGGATTGAATGCCACGTGGATGATGCGTCAATCCGGAGAAATGAGCGTAGTCGTGCATCTGGTGTAGCACAATTATGGCCAAGCGGTCGTCTATAAACTATCATAACTTGGATACATTGACGGTAGGTGTATTGTGCAATGTAATATTTCATAAATATCTATCTATATATATATTTTAGCAAAACGTGATATTTTGAGGATTCGCAAGAAATACCGTTACAGCAATATTAACAATTATTGTCTAAATAACCTTTTACATTTTTTTTCTTCTGTAATTTCTGTTATCACAAAGTTCACGGCTAATATATAAAAAAGGGTGATTTTTAAAAAATTTTGAAAAAATACATGAAATCTTTATTACATGCAAACGTCGACTATGATTGGGCCTCAAATGATCCATCCGCTTAGTCCAATTTTGGCATACTCTTTCCAATATTTCGGCCGGTATCTCAGATATAAATGCTTCAATGTTGCTCTCTAATGCGTCCATTGAAGCGGGTTTGTTTCTATAGATACGCACGATCTAGGTGGCCAATTGACCGGTTTCAAACGTGAAATAAAATTTTTACCGAACTCGCCTCTCAATAAGTCAATTTTTAAGCGTGCTGTGTGGCATGTGGCGCCGTCTTGTTGAAGCCACATGTCATGCAAGGCAATCTCCTGCATTTCGGCAAAAAAAAGGTTTGATATCATCTCACAGTAGCGCTCACCATTCGCAGTTACGTTACGATTCTCATTCATCTTTGAAGAAATACGGTCCAATGATGCCACCAGCCCATAAATTGTGACTTTTTCTGGATGAATTGGTAGCTCTTGCAATGCCCCTGGCTGATCTTCACTCCAAAATCGACAATTCTGCTTATTTGTACACTCATTAAGCTAAAAATGAGCTTCGTCGCTGAACATATTTTTTCGATCAAAAAGCATTTTGCAAGCGTTGTTCGTTTGTAAGACGATTCATGGTTAAATTACAGACCAAACTGGCGATGTCTGAAAGTTATACAAAACACGAAACGGGCGTCAGCTGTTTAAACCAATGTTGCCAAAAAGATAATAACTAAAAAATCACCCTTTACAATGTAAGTTATCAAACAAATTCTTCTTCTTCATTGGAGTGAGCAGCGCTGACAAGAAAATGGCCGAACCAACATCCACGATTCTTCCCTGCTCTGTTTAGTGTTAGAAACGCCAATTGAAACCACGTCGCTGTCCATCTGAATCTTTCAATGGAGTGGAGACTTTCCTCTTCCTCTGCTGCCAGTGGCGTATACTAAACTGCATCGAATACTGTCAAAGCTGGAGTATTCGTACCCATCCGGACAACATGACCTAGCCACTGCTTCTTAATTCGTTAAACTATTTATTTCAATGTTACCGTATAACTCGCTCATCGTTCCATCGCCTCCGGATTCCGTAGCTAATGCGCAAAGTACCATAAATTGTTCGTGAAACTTTTCTCTCGAAGACTCTCAGTGCTGCCTCATCGGGCGTGAATGAAGAGTGACATGTTGAGCTTACTATTCAATTGCCCCTCAGTCCAAAGTAGCATCTGGTGGCATAAGTTATATGACGAACTGTTTGTTTGATGACAGAATATATTTCATCATGTATTCATTCCCTACCAGACACATTCGCTTCGCTTTTTTTGTCAAGTCTGGAGAAATCAGAACTAACGGCACGGTTTTTAAGGCCTATGATATTAATGTTACTGGTCTATGTCAGCAGTTGTACACTCTTGTAAAATGTTATATTCGCAGCTCTTATTTTTTCTCCACTATCAAGTTGAAAAATCCCACGATAACGAATCTCTGTCTGGTCCTGACAGGGCTTTCTGATTTTGGCTGCGTTTTTTACAGCCGTATAAGTTTTGCAGGAATACCAAAGCCAGCCAAACTGGCTTAGAGACGGCGTCTTACTGTGATGCCCAAGGCAACTTTAAAATCAACGAAAAGGTTGTTTACGGCGGGCTTTAGTCTTTCACACAATACGCTAGATAGAACCTCATGTGCGGTAATTAGGAGGTCCCACGATAATAGACAGTAGGATCGGCTTTTGTATGAGTTAGACAGAGCACCCTTAAGTTCCAATCATCTGACATTCTCTCGTCTATGCTTTGTTGCGCTTTAAGCAGGCAATCGTCATTCAAACCTTGTCATATTCGGGTTGTGGGACGTCTTTCACATCGTTATCGATTGGGTCTTCGGGTACGCTGCCATTCATCATGCTGATGAAGTGTTGGTTCATACACTGAATATGCTCTGGACATTGGTTACCAGATTTCCAAATTGATTCCCACATTACTTTGCTGCGATCTTGAAACATTTGCTTAGTCGCTGTGTCATTTCATAAAGCTCTGAAGCTCTTTATACTTATACCTCTCCGCCTCTTTCTGTTTTCGTCTGCATATGCCTCTCGCTTCTCTCTTCAGCTCTTGGTATCTGTTCTACCAAGAAAAATTATTGTATATCAAAGAGATTAGAAGAGACCAGGTTAAATAGAAAAATTAAGAATCGATGACTCATCAGTAAGTTGTTTAAATATTTAAAATAACTGAAATCATTCTGGACATTGTTTTCTTTCTTTAAGATATTTCCAAATTAATAACCCACAAAAATTAAAAATAGTGGGAGAGAAAACATTACACGTGTATTTTATTGTTTCTTTGTGCATGATGCAATAACCACGAATTACGAAACAATCACTTTAAAATATAATGACAACGAGAGAGATATCAGTGAAGCTCGACATAACAGCCGTTTGGAATCTTCATGAACGCATTTTTATATGCTGTATGAAAGCTTCCCAAAGCAATCAAATTGAAGTTTTCAATCGTAAAGCTCTGAAGTCCTGTTATTATAACAGCAGTAATTGATATCTTCATGAGTTACAATCAAAACCAATTGAAAGGTGAAACTTTCAAATCCGATTTGAATATGAGTTGAATAACTTTTCCGCTTCTAAGCTGTCGACACCTGCAACAGAAAGTGTACTACCGTCGCGACATGGCGGTGGGTAATAGGCTTGAGTCCGGGAGCACTATCTAAAAAGCTTTAAATCAAAGTATCTCATTAAAATCCATTTGCTATTGTTTGTACTTTATTATAAAAGGTTCAAAGCTAATTAAAATAAAATGGATCTGTTTGAAAAAAATTGGACTGAAATATTGTTTAAACTATCTTTTTTGGAACTTGAACTAATTTTTTTTTTTCAAACATCGTTAAAATTTGGAATTTTCCTACCTCTTCGGTTATTCTGAGGCATCGCACGACCTCCATCAACGACACTGTTTCACGAGTTCAGACTACAGGCGCTTCCGAAAACTCATCACAACATTGGGAAATTTCAATATTTTTTTGTTTCTAAAAATAGTTTGTTGAAGCTTAAACATAGTACATTATTTTTTTTGTTAGCCACAATAATATCCATCTCTTTTCTGAAGGGGATTACTGCCCCTCATCCCTCGGCAGGGAATGTTAACCCCTCCGAGTGGACTTTTGACATGAAATAAAGACTCCCCATAAAATCTTCAGTCGTTCGGAGGCTTAATATGAATTGTAGGTCTCTCCATTTGTTGAAAAAACATCAAGACGCATACAACAGTTTGGAGGAGGAGTTCGGCCGAAAATCTGAACATACACGTCTATTAGATGGACACCACTCCTGAACTGACACTTTTTTAAGCACTAATTTTTGAGTGAAATTTTTAGAACAAATAACCCCGCCTTAAGTTGATACTCTCTTGGGCGGATCCGAACAATTTTTTACTATAATATTGAACTTCTATTAAGTGGACTCAAATCTCTTTTCAACGGAAAAGGGTTTATTTTTTTCCATACAATATCCAACCTAAAGCACTGTTGGAGGACGCAAACTCCATGTGCGGACAAAAGTTAAACAGTCAATGAAATGTTCGTTAGATGCATACAGAAATTTAAAAAACACTGTGTCGGAAAGGAAAAACGGGACTACCCGAATAAAATAAATTGTACATTAGAAAAAACTTACTCGGCTAATAAGCTTGGTTAGCTCAGTAAATAGCGTTCAGCCATTGCGTCAATGCGTATGAAGTGACGGTCAAACTGAAGCTCCAAGAGGAAAATTAACCTATTTAGTTAGTTGATTAATAGAGGGATTTGGGGACCTGACCGCAAGCGACAGAGTCTTCATTCGCTGGACTATGTCAATATCATCATATAGCTCGTACAGCTCCTTGTTCCATCATCTGCGGTATTCGCCTTTGCCAATGCGCAAATGACTATAAATCGTTCGCAAAATTTTACTCTCAAATACTCCTAGAGCCGAGTCATCAGATACTGTTATCGTTCACGCTTCTGTGTCATATAGTAGGACGGGTATGATGAGCGACTTGAAGGGTTTGGTTTTCGTTCGCCGAGGGAGGACTTTACTTTTCAATCGCCTACTCAGTCCAAAGTAGAACCTATTGGCAAGAGTGATTCTGAGCTGGATTTTCAGGCTGATATTGTTGTTGGTGATAATACTGGTTCCAAGATAGACAAAGTTGTCTACGAGTTCGAAGTTATGACTGTCAACAGTGAAGTGGGAGCCGAGTCCGGTAATGCGATGACTGTTTGTTTGATGACAGAATATATCTCGTCTTGCCCTCGTTCACTACCAAACTCATTCGCTTTGCTTCTTTATCAAGCATGAAGAAAGTAGAACTAACGGCGTAGTTGTTGAGGGCGATAATGCCAATATCAGCGGCGTACGCCAGCAGCTGTAAGTTCTTATCGAAGATTTTACCTTCCCTATTCAGCTCTGCAGCTCGTATTATATTCTCCAGCATCAAATTAAAGTATTTCATTCGTTCATTTTAGAACCAGGTGCCAGATTACGTACTCCTTTCGTACTCTTAGAGACTGCGCTGTACTACGCATATCCCGTGTTACCACGTTTAATCCCCATGTTGCTTGGATCTCCCTGAACATACCAGCTATGTCGAGTAAGATGACCAAAGCAAAGCTTCTTAAAGCTTTGTAACTCCAACGGTTCTTCGAAGCTCTGCCGGAAAGATTCCATTCAATCCTGGTAATTGTTCGCGCTAACTTGAAACTCTTCTTTAACTTCTTCCTAAGAGATTCCACCTCACGATTCTACTAGATCG